CTCAAACCAAGGCTCTGATACCAAATTGTAACAACGTAAATTTTCAAACAAAATTTTCATTTAAAAATCGCGTACTTTTCATAACATATTGTATAAAAATATCGTTTATTCAAATTACAAAACACAACTCCATTAATAATCCAGGATCCTCATAACTCTTTCTCTGGTGTGTACAATCAAGCCCCTGCCGTCCCGCGATCCTGAGAAACCTAAAACACATAACACATAACACGGTAAGCACAAAGCTTAGTGAGTTCCCCAAAATACCACGTACAACAATTCGCCACTCGAGGCTATACTCTGTAAGACCCTCCGGTCAATGTGTCTCAGCGGGACCCTCCAGTCACGTAGCTCGTTGGACCCTCCGGTCCGGTCTGGTTCGTTGGACCCTCGGTCCGGTCTGGTTGTGAGCCATCCGGCCTCACGGATCGTTGGACCCTCTGGTCCGGTCTATAAACTCCGCATAGCATAAATCACAAAGACATAATGCATAGCATACCACATACAACAGGATAACATAATACTCAATGTAAGCACATAAGACCTTCCGGTCACACATAACTACCACTCAAGGTAAAGTATAGTGAGAAGACTCACCTGACAAGCAACAAGTAAAGACCTCGCTCCCGAATCTCGAACTAGCCTCCGCCTAACACAATGGATGAATATCTCTAAGTGATACTCTAATCACAACTCTAATGACCGAAGGCTATTCTTCCTCTCTTTAACTCTTTGAAGTGGATAAAAGACCATTTTACCCCTTCATGGTCTCTACTACTCATGTTGACCAAAGCCCCAAAGTCAACAAAAGTCAAACTCGAGTCAACGGTCCATGTTTGACCCGACTCGCCGAGTGCACCCTTGCGACTCGTCGAGTCCACTTATTTTCCTCAGAAGTCTCGTGATAGTCCAGCTCAGCTCGTCGAGTTGACCCCCAACTCGTCGAGCTATCACATGATTCAGTTCTTCGGGACAAACCCTAACCAACTCGTCGAGTCAGCTCATTGACTCGGCGAGTTCCTTCAGACCAAATGTTCATTCAGACGATTCCAATCAGATCTATCACTCCAAACACTAGATCTATCATCCCAAGGCTCAATAATCACGTAAAGCTTCGATCTTTACGTTCATACATGAGGTTATTGCTCCTAAATGCTAATACATGCCTTTCATGAAGGATTTAGCTCATCAACCCTCATTCGAACGACTAAAGCTGGGACACCTAGACTCTAAGAACCTTAAGAGGTCCAGATCTGAGGTTTCCAACCTCAAACCATGTCTCATTCAACTCATAGATTCAAAGGATGGAAGCAAAGCCCTAAAACTCCCAAAATGAGATCTAGCACAAGGAATGAACAAGATCAGGACTTTGTACGTTCTCTTAGCAGTTCAAACACTCAATACCACAGATCCACTGCCTTCCTTTGTTCCCCATCATGAAGCTCTTCATCCTTCTTCATAGAAATACACCAAGATTGCCCAAAATGATCACATACTCACTTTACAAAGGTTAGAACGGTTTAAGGGTTTCTCTCAGGCTCTCAAGGGAAGTGTGGTCGCAAATGAAGGCCATAAGGGCCTTTAAATAGGTCACAAACCCGGACAATTAGGGTTTTCCTCAACAGCGCTGACTCGGCGAGTCAGATACCCGACTCGTCGAGTCCATTCATTAAACACGTCACCAAAACGCGACCCTACTCGACGAGTTAAGGCACGCAATGCGTCGAGTCACTCCTCATATCTCAAAATGAATACTCAAAATATTATCCCTGGAAATCCAGATGTTACAAATAATAATAATAATAATAATAATAATAATAATAATAATAATAATAATAATAATAGTATTAATGGAAATGAAAATAATAATAATAATAATAATAATAAGAGCGGAATTGTATAAAATAAATAGTTCAACATTTTAGAAAGGATCATGCATTCCCGGCCTAGTGGTAAAATGTTTGTATTGTTTGCAAGGAAACTTGAGTTCGATTTCCACCCACCTTTTTTTCTTATTTTCATAGACTATGATAAGAATACGTTAAATATAATAAAGGGGCATGTTCAACTGGATGTGGCGTTCCTGGCTTAGTGGTAAATCGGTAATCAGCTCATAATGTAGTCGAGGCAACCCAGGTTCGATCTCTATCTTTGTTTTTTTTTTTTTTTTTTTTTTTTTTTTTTTTTATTTTTTTTTATTTTCCCATTTGCGACAGATTTGTGACGACAAAAAAAAAACAAAAAAGAGTTCCAGTTTCCGTCGGTATTTCTTCGCTTTTTACCGATGCATTACCGACTGTATCATTTTCATTGCTATTCTGTAGCTATTCTATCACAATGTTTTCATTAAATTAGGGCGTCTCATTTCGTAGGCATTCTGTCAACATTTCGTAGGCCTACAGAATTATTCCGTAGGTAATGTTCATTAGTATAGTTGAAGAAGACATTGAGCTATGTTGAGTTTACATGCTTTCAGTCGGTATGTATATGCCCAAGTTTGGTACATAAAAATGAAATTGCAGTAGAGAATGGAAACGCAGAGAAAAAGAATTAAGTTGGGGAAAGAGAATCGATTCCATTATTTGGTAGAACAGAGAATTCACTAGATAAATGTTGTTGATAATCATTTATCATGTTTGGTTGTATTAAGAAAATGAAATGAAAATGAGTTTTTTTTACCATTATTATTAAATCAAATATGCGTCTTAATTTTATGTTTATAATTTTCCATTTTAACATTACTTCTTACCAAATAGTTTATGTAATTGGCAATTCAAAATTTTTATATACATCTTGTATTGAAAAACGAAGTTCTAATATAAACGAATAAGGTATCCAAAGTCCAAACAAAAAATAATATGAAAATCATACTATCTTCAAAAATTAAAATTCAATATTGGTGACAACTAAAAAAATATTATTTACAGTAGCCTAATCATAATATTGATCAACTAGTAATTATTTTTTACATAACAAAATTCCTCGATCTTCGATCGTCTTAAAATTTGATCGATTATAAGGACCATACAAAACACATAAAAGTAAAAAAGCACCCTTAAAAATTGGTTATAAATCGAGAGCCATATATTTGTTTTAAAATTTTCATTACCATAATCTAGGTCTGGCAATTGGGTTGGGTTCGGGTTGGCGGGTCGCGGATTGACTGGTTGGCGGGTCAGAAAACATAAACTCAACCCAACCAATATAATATATGGGTTGACGGGTTGGCGGGTCACGGGTTGGTGGGTTGGAAACCTCAACCCAACCCAATCCATATAACCCGTTTAAGTATATGGGTTCGCAGGTTCACAAGTTAATGGGTCAAACCCAACCCATATAACCCGTTTAATAAATAAGCAACACATTTAAAAAAAATGAGGTTTTCTCAACATAAATTCATAAAATTATTAAAGTAATTAACATAAAAAAAAGGTTTTCAACATAAATTCATAAAGTCAATAACATCCAAATAAAAATGAAAAATAAAAACATTCATAGAAAACAGATGTGTTCTTCGTTCGTGACTCGTGAAAATAACGACATGTATTTTTTCTTTTTCTGATTAACGAACCGCAAATGCAAATTAGTCACATACGAATACGGAAGGAATACAATGATACGAAATATTACGAATACGGATGGAAATCAACTTTTTTTAATAATTAAATGTATCATCTTTTTTAAATGTAATATATATATATATATTATATATATATATATATATATATATATATATATATATATATATATATATATATATATATACGGGTTGGCGGGTTGACCCGCGAACCCAAATAGATAACTCAACCCAACCCATGAAATAAAAGGGTTGGTGGGTTGGCGGGTTGACGGGTCAAAAATCTCAACCCAAACTTGTCTATTTTCGGGTTGGGTCTGTGTCGGGTTACGGGTTGGGTCGAGAGTTGTCACCCCTACATAATACAATAAGAAAAACTCAGCAAGCTTATGTGTAAAGTTTTGCTATAGTGCTCCAAATCTCTAGGATCAAGAAAATTTAAAATTATACGTATGGTTGAATATTTCACAACAAAAAATGTAGCCTTTAGCAACGACAAAAGTCGTTGCAATTGGTTACACTTGTCGTTGCTAATACCTTTAGCGTCGACATGTCGTTGCTACAGGGTCGTCGCAATTACCTCGTAGCTAATACTCGTTTGTCGTCGCAAATATCGAAGTCTCTAATACGCGTCGTCTCTAATACTTCTGTGCCGTCGCTATTGACGTCGTCTCTATTGATATTTCGGCCACCAGCCTGAGTTTTTCCGGCAAAGCTTTCACGAGTTATGTGTCGTCGCAATTAGTCCACGTCGTCCCTAAAGGTGTCGCTGCTAATTTTTTTTTTTTTTTGAGAAAAAACATATTTGTTATTATATTAGTTTATATATATTATAAAATGCATATTTGATAAAGATACATAACTAAATACATATCACATTACATAAAACATCAAACATACCATATTACATATCTAATAAATCCGAAATAAACATCTAATATATAATCCATAAACAATCTAATAAATCCAAAATAACATCATCCATAACAAAAAACAAGAAATACTATGTGTCTTCGTCTTCATCTTCCACATCATTGTTTTCCTCGTTGTTGACTTGGTTTTTAAAGGAGCGGATAATGTCTCCAATGGCCGTCACAAATGTCGAGTTTTGAAGAAAAGTATTCACATCAACATCCTACAATTAAGTCACAAGCACATTAAGTCATTAACAATTCAACAAACTATCAAACCATCAAAGCACCAAATGAATTAAGTCGTTAACAATTTAACAAACTAGTAAACAACAAATTCTTTAAGAATTTCACAAGTATCTGTTTTGGTTGTAGTGTTGTGTTGGTTGTAGTGCTTGTGACTGTGACTGCCATTGGGATGGAGCACTTGTACCCGCAGCTGAAGAAGCTTTAGGCCCAATGCATCTCACATGCCCCCTTCATGTACCCAACACCTTCTCAAATATTCCGATTCAATCAATTGTGTCTGGATCACCACCAGAATCTGCTATGTGATGAGTCTGTAGAGCAACCTCAGCAACTTACGCATTATGTATTTCACAAAGATTGTTAATATACGTTAAAACTAAAACAAAAAAACCAACAATCTACTTCATTTTTAAGTAATAATAGCTTACATATTGCTCTTCAACCAAAGGATCAACAAATTCCCATTTTTTATTCACATGCGCATGATGAAATACTTCAAGTCTATTCAAATTCTGTTTAACATTACAAAATATGTTATATTTGAATAAACATTAAAAAATATATTATAACCGAATAAGCATTATTGTAACTTACTTTCTCGAAACAAGCACTACCGTAGCTGCACGTCCCTCCATGATTCTTCACTACTTTCTTCTTCCGGCATTCTTTCTTTCCAGCGGATCGTTTTTTATGTTTTTCTGTCAAGAAATGGTCAATAGCAGCATTCCAACACGGTTGATCCACACCCGTAGGGGCTTGAGCCCTTGCCGCCTCCACATCCCCTGCAAAAGCAATTGGAGCCATGGGATGATTTGCAGCCTCTATACCGTGCACATATCCAATTATTCAGTGACGCCCAATAAGTTGGAGCCATGGGATGATTTGTAATCGCTCCAAAATCAAACCATCTCTACAAAAAAAATAGAGAAATTAAAAATAAATCAATATTAAAAAAATATTAAATATATAACTTTATAAATAATTTACCGAAAGATACTGCAACATTCCAACTCTTTCGGCTTCAGAAACGTTTGTCCATGTGTCTTTATCAAAACCGATGTCCCGCCACATATAGCTCCCAACCTCCCGAATGAAACATCCATATACCTTCCCAATCGGCATGTTAGTATTTATGTCGAATATTATCTTAAGAGGCCGGTTGTCGTTAGCTGCAAATAGTTTGTGCATTTTTTTATTTACTACCATGCCTCTTCGTTTCGGAGGCACCGCTGTATAAAAAAATATTAGTCAAAATAATTTTTTTATATAGATACAATATGAAATACAACGAATTAGAATAAATCATAATTACCATCGTTCTGGTGATCACCAAAACCTCCGCCGAACGGATGTGGTGGCTCGTCACCACCGTCACCTCCATCGCCCATCATAACAGCCATGACATGAAGCAATGCAATCCAAAAAAAGGACATCCTGCAAAATTATAACACAATATGAATATATATACATATAATATGATATGATTACAACAAATACAAACCTTATTTTACTAGTCAAATGTAAAGATTTTTTAAATCATTCTCGCCCCAGACACTTCAGTGCCTGCTGACACATCACTATCATAATTAGAATCTTCCTCATCATAATCAGTCTCGCAATCAGACACATTATTGATGATACTCATTGGTGGGTCAACTTCAATATCATCTTCACCCGATTGAGAATTTTGAAAGTACTGGCTAAAGTCGATTGAAAGAGTGAAATTAGAAGAAACATTACTTAGAACGACATCGGTTGAATCATTGTCGACATTTTAAATGGGATCATGGTCGACATCGTTCATCGGTAGATCCCAAATTCTTCTATGATTAACATTTTCAACAACCCACCGTTGGTTGTCATTTTCGTCACTTCGAGAAGGTTCTTGGATGTAAATTACTTGCTTCGCCTGCATAGCAAATATGAGTTGATCTTCGCTGCTCAATTCGCTTTGTGGGTCGATACTGGTAAAATTACTATTAGATTTAACTCCTGCAGTATCGAACCACTTGCAACGAAAAAAGTACGGTGGAATATTTAAGAGGATAATGCAACTCGATAATCTATGACAACATCCTCATTTCTTTCGAGGCGATTGAATCGAATCTCGACATCTTCAAGGTACATCGAACAAAATGATAATGCATCTTCAGCGACATAACCCTCAGCTATAGAACCTTCCGGCCTCGCCTTGTTTCTAACATAGTTTTTTAGTTTTTTCATAAACCTTTCGAAGGGATACATCCATCTCATACGTACAAACGTTGTAGTCTGGGGGTCACGGGAAAGTATCGTAAAACCTTACGAGCCACCTTCTTACCCTTTGTATTTTCATCAACCCACCGACTCTCATTACAAGCTGGACACTTTTGCAACAAGTTGTGTTCTTTCCAGAAAAGAAAGCAGTCGTTTTTACATACGTGTATCGACTCATAACCCAAGCCGATTTTTTAAGTGTCTTTTTTGATTCGTAATGTGACGGGGGGACCCTATTTCCTTGAGGAAATGCAGTTTGTAACAACTCAAGAAGCTGATCGAATAAACTATCAGTCCATTTGTTGATCACCTTGATATGCATCAGCTTTGCTAAAAAGTTAAGGGACGAAAATGAACATCCAGGATATAATTTTAATTGGACTTCCTCTAACAACTTTTGAAATCCATCATCGACACCGCTACCGTCTGTATCTAGGTTCCCTTCGTCGCGGTTGGTATCATTTTCAATCACACCCCCCATAACATCGGCAATAACATCGGCCGTCTCGTTACTACGCGGTATGTCTTCGACAACCGGGTGAGTTGTATTTTCGTCGTGATACTTCCATATAATATAATGTGGACTTAAACCATGTTGAAGTATATGGAATTTCATTATGGCTAGTAGTATAAATTTATTGAAATTACATTTGTTACACGGGCATCTGATTTGACCTTTGTTATCGACGTGTGGTTTAGACCTCTCGAGAAAAGATTCGAGTCTTTGTTGGAACAAGGTAGAGTTACGTTTTTCAATAGTAGTCCACCTTTTATCAATAGACATGTTGCAACTTAAACATACGTTAGGTTTTAGTGTTTACTCTACAAGAACTAAAATTAGGATTGAATATTTATAAGGATAGGTAACCGCTCAATCGGATAGAATAGAAAACCGGACAATGGAAGAATATTCACAAAGGTAGGCTTCTAAACCCACTTTTTGAATACCTTACCTCATATGCAAATGTGTATTACATGATTGACCGTTTAAGAAAAATCCGGCAGCATTTCCCCTTAGCTCCTAAGTATATATAAAATTATATAGCCGAGGAGCAAAGAGAAAATTACAACCAAATATTTATTAAAAAATCAATCATGTAATACACATTCACATCCTAAATGGGGTAAAGTATTCAAATAGCAGTCCCAAAACGGGGACAACCTGAAATTAATTTCTAGATCAATTTCAAGCGGATATTTCTAGGCTCTTGATGATTTAAAAAGAAAATAAAGGAAGATACTTAAACTAAAAACGTAATTTTTATTATAGCATTGGATTTTAAATAATTAAGTTATTCGATTACAACTTAATAGATTTACCGTCTTATGTTTTTCGTTTTTGTTTTGTATTATAACATTTTATTTTAACATATAAAAAAGAAGTTTGATGTTGTATTATAAACCGGATATTGTATTTTTTTTTTTTTTTTGTTATTTTGCTTTTTTGTTTTTTTGTAAATATAGATATCGAAGTGATAGCATTAAATTCATTTAATCTAATTTTTTATTTAAGTTTTTTTGCTTGCACATATACATTCATTTGCTATTATTTTGCAAAAACATTTCATTGTCAAAACCTCTGCGGCTTATTAGATTACAACTTATTAGATTTACTGCTTATGTTTTTCGTTTTTGCTTTGTATTATAACATTTTACTTTAACCAATTGTAGTATATATTTTTTTATTTAGATCATTTTTTCATTTATCATCATTGATTTTTTTTAACATATAAAAAGTTGTTTGATGTGTTTATTGTTTTTTTTATTTAGATCATTTTTTCATTTGTAATCATTGATTTTTTTAAAATATATTAAAGTTGTTTGATGTGTTTATTGTTTAACTATAAACTGGATATATATATATATATATATATATATATATATATATATATATATGAATATTAAAGTGATAAAGTTAATGGATATGATGAATTAAGTTTGGATTGTGATATGTTGTAACGTTGACTACTCGTTTTAGTTATCTAATTGTCGGATTATAATAATCACAAAAATTATAATGATAAAATAGTAATATATTTGATTAAAATAATAATTCTGATTATAATAATCTCAAAAATTATAATTTTCGATGCGTTAAATTCATTTAATATAATTTTTTATTTAAGTTTTTTTTATAATAAGATTGTTTATTTGTTTTTACATTTTTGAGTTAAAACTTTCATATATAATCGGTAATTTTTTTTTGTTTTTACTTTTTTTGTTTTTTTGTTTTTTTGTTTTCATAATAACTTTTTTTTTGTTTTCATAATAAGATTCATAACTATTTATGATTGTATTATTGAATGATAACTATCACATTTTATAAACAAACGGTTGTATTATTGAATTGATGACTATAATATAACATCAGCTGTTTTTATGATTATCTCCAAATACAAAGGTAAAATGAATTTACTAACATTCAACCAAAACAATATTCAGGATCTCTCAATAAAAAATCATTTTGATATAGCGTTAAACAAATATAGAAATAAGATCACCTATAAAAACACAAACAATCAATAGTTTCACATATATACATTCATAAAACCAGGAAAAAAAAGATGCATATGTTTGATATAGCATCAACCAAAACAACATTTTTGACATACCAACTTCACAACATCACAACAATCATACCAATTTCACAACATCACAACAGTCAAAAGTTCATACCAAACAAAAACAATTTTACATATATATTCATAAATTCAAACCATCAAATGTAGTAGTTCATACCAATTTGACATACCAAACCAAAACAAATGAAGTTCATACCAATTTCATAGGATCAAAAGTTTCACAACATCACAACAGTCAAAAGTTTCACATTCAATTTCATAGGAAAAAAAACCAAGACAGTACCAATTTCACATCAATTTCAGAGGAAAAAAAACCAACACAGTACCAATTTCACATCAATTTCACATATGTATTCATAAATGAAAACCATATTTGTTCTTGCCGGAAAAATTGTCAGAAAAAGAAAGCTACAATCGGTGGTGATGTGTGTCCTACAAATGGCAACTTAAAAAACAGAAAAAAAAAATCATTCACTGTTAGTAGTGGTATGTTCAGTCGGCAGTGGAGAAAGAGAAATGGGTAGACAAAACCAACCTCGCCGGAGATACACGGTTGGAATCCGATGTAACAGTCGGCAATGGAGGGGTGGCAGTCGGCAGTCGGTGGGTGGAGTCCCGTTTTGAGGTTAATTGGCCGTGGGAGTCGGCATTGGAACTCAATCGATGGTGGGAGTTGGCTTTGGAGGTCAATCGGCGGCGGAGAGCGGCGTCGTCTGGAGTAAATATGTGTTCTCGGGTGAGGAAACTGAACAAAAGGGGTGAACCTTTAGAGGCGACTTAAACCCTCTGAGCGGCGCCCATCTGGAGGGAACTCAACGTGCCATTTCTATAGATTATGGACCGTTGGATTGGGCCAAAACCGTAGAGCCAAGATTTAGTCCAATTTTCGTCAAGGGATCGATACCAATAGCTGCGACATGTCGCCACTAAAGATGTTGTCTCAATTGCTTTCCTATCAGTCACTCATGAGTCTCACCATTTATTTTTATTTATTGTGATGGTTTACCTTCCTGTATTTTGTCTATTCTCTAAGGGGTGTTCTTTTAATTATTTCTTTGTATATAAAGATCAGATCTCCTGCCCTTTTCTGGCATGGAGAGTTTCACTCTCATGGTATCATACGCCTAAGATCCTACCCTTTCTTCTTCCCTAAACAATGGTGTCGTCTTCCTCTTCTTCTTCCATAAAAACTTTCCTTCCCATGAACACCCTTATGCATCTAATCACCATTCGCCTCTCTCCTTCAAACTACCTGTTGCTCCTTCAGCGCTGGTCTCACCTGTTGCTCCTTCAGCGTCGGTCTCACCTTCAACATCGACTTCTCCCTCCGCGTCGACCTCGCCTAGTTTTGCAGCTCCGACTTCACCTGTTGTTGTCGTTCCGACTTCGAATGTTGGACACCCAATGATCACTAGAGCCAAGGCTGGCATTTTTAGACCAAAAGATCGGGTCGATTTGGCTCACACATCTGCACATGACCTTTATTCAGCGTTGTTTTCTTCTACTGATCCAAAAGGGTTCAAGTCCGCTGCCAAACACCCCCACTGGGTGACTGCAATGCATCAGGAAATAGAGGCGCTCCACCGGAATAATACATGGACATTGGTCCCCCGACCCGAACATCATAACATAGTGGGTTGTCATTGGTTGTTCAGGACCAAATAATGTTGATGGTTCGATTGAAAGACACAAGGCTCGTCTCGTTGCTCAGGGATTCAGTCAAGTTCCAGGGCTTGATTATTCTCAAACCTTCAGTCCGGTGGTTAAGGCCTCAACTGTGCGTATTGTTCTATCATTGGTTGTTCTTAATAACTAGAAACTTCACTAGCTTGATGTTAACAATGTTTTCCTTAATGGCGAGCTATCTGATCTCGTGTACATGGAACAACCTTCTGGCTTTCAGGATGCTACTTTTCCTCATCGTGTGTGTCGTCTCAACAAAGCTCTATACGGTCTTAAACAGGCTCCGCGAGCTTGGTTCCATCGGCTCAGTACCTTTCTTGTTATCAACGGGTTTGTGTGAAGTAAGGCAGATACTTCCTTGTTTGTGTTCAAACGGGGTTCATGCATTTTGTACTTACTTGTCTACGTAGATGATTTAATTTTGACAGGAAATGACGATAAGGTCCTCAAGTCTTTTGTCACCTAGTTACATGCTGAGTTTGCCATCAAGGATCTCGGGCGCCTTAATTTCTTCCTTGGACTTGAAGTCATACATACTGATAATGGCTTGTTTCTCAGCCAATCCAAATATGCTCATGACATTCTCCAACTAGCAAACCTCCTTGATGCCAAACCAGCTACCACCCCGCTTGCTTCCAATGCCGCTTTTGTCACTAGTGGTGAGCTATTTGATGATCCAACCCACTATCAGTCACTAGTGGGTGCCCTACAATACTTGACCATCACTCGTCCTGATATTTCTTATGCAGTCAACCAAGTTAGTCAGTTTGTACAGGCTCTACACGCTGTCACTTTCAAAGTGTTAAGCGTATTCTCCGCTACGTTAAGGGCACCTTGTCCTTTGGTCTCACTTTTTCGCGTTATCCCACCACCTCCCTTCTTGGTTATTCTGATGCGGACTGGGCTCGGTGTCTTGAGACGCGTCATTTACTTATGGCTACTCTATTTTCATAGGTGGAAATCTTGTCTCGTGGAGTGCGAAGAAACAACCTACCGTCTCTCGGTCTAGCTGTGAATCTGAGTATCGGACCATGGCCAACACCGTTGCGGAGATAATTTAGATCACTCACTTATTAAGAGAGTTACATGCTCTACCTCTGGGTCGTCCTACACTCTTGTGTGACAACAAAAAGTGCCTTATTTCTCACACAAAATCCGGTCTCTCACAAACGGGCTAAGCATATAGAACTGGATTATCATTTTATTCGTAAGCTTGTTTCTTCTGGGAAACTCCACACTACGTTTGTTCCTACCAAGCTTCAGGTGGCTGATATATTTACAAAGAGTCTTCCTAGACATGAATTTGAGTTCTTTCGGGACATGTTGTGCATCAGACCGCCACCGTTTCGTTTGAAGGGGGATATCAGTCACTCATGAGTCTCACCATTTATTTTTATTTATTGTGATGGTTTACCTTCCTGTATTTTGTCTATTATCTAAGGGGTGTTCTTGTAATTATTTCTTTGTATATAAAGCTCAGATCTCCTGCCCTTTTCTGGCATGGAGAGTTTCACTCTCATTTCCACATGATCAAACCCTATCCGTTCGATCTTGTTCCGAACCAAGGGTCAGGATTGAAAGTTGCGTGTCTCCGACGGATCTCCGGTCCAGACCATTAGCGACATTTCTATTAGCGACGACATCGGAGGTTTAGTAGCGACACCAAGTGTGTCTGGTCTGGTGTCGTCGCTAAAGACCTCGTCGTCGCAAAAAGGGCCGTCCCTAATACGCTTTATTCTATAAAATAAGATATAAGAAAATTAAAAAAAAAAACAATTGCTTTTTCAAAAACGAAAAGTAGGTGTAGGGAATGGATTCGAACGTAAGACAATTCTCCGCTCTTTCTTTCTTTCTTTCTTTCTTTTTTTTTCAATCAATTAGAGAATTGTTTCTCACATTTTCTCTATAAAATAAAGAAAATTAATATGGTGGATATTCTCTCCTTTTTAAGAGGGTATTAAAAATATTTTTTTAGTGGACGATTTTTCCCATGAGTTTGCTGCTTCCTTTTTCTTGATGTTATCATTCGTCGGGAGATTCTGAACATTGGGGTCTTTCTAAAGGGTTGGTCATTGAAAGTGCATTGCTGAAATTGGTGATGCTCGATGTTCATTACCATTACCATTTTGAGACTCATTTTTGAATCCTTCTGATTCGGGTGAATTCTTCTCATGCATGTACAAAAGAAGCTCATTACCCTTACTAAACGACTAAATATCGTATTTGCCTGACCTAAACTCTAAATATCATATTTGCCCTTCTTAATATTTTAAAATATCAAATTTTCCCAAATTTATATTTTAAATAATTTTTATTATTTAATAATATTTTATTACATTTTAAAATCATTGTAATTTAAGAAAATGTCTAAATGGACCATAATACCCTTACTTTGTAAATCAAAATTTTTCAAACGAGGTTTTTATGCTTTGGTTGTCTTCCTCGAGCTGTCTTCCTCATGATCGTTGGTGTACGTCATCTCATTTTTTTCTTTCGTTGCTTCCTTCAATTGCAACCGGTTCCTTCTTGCAATTGTTAATCAGAACCCAGGTAATTATACTCTTATATCCCTTTCTTTTTAGCAATAGAATCAATACTTACATACAGTGTTTAGAATCTCAAATTCTTGAAACCACTGTCTTAATTTCACAATTCCCTTTCCATACATGCCCTTCTTTTAGGTCATGAATCCAAATAATAGGCTTAATTTTGGTTCTGCACTTCTAATTTTCATTTATACCACAAGTTACCATACAGTGGTATTGATTTCAAGTTGTGATGCATAATTGAAACTCAAATGTTGTTTTCAAGTTCCTATGTATTGTGCTTTACAGGAAACTACGGTGAAATTGGACAATGGACAATTTGAACTTTTGACTCTATAAAGTACGTAGATTTAGAAAAAAAAAAAAAATTCAAGTTCCTATGTTCTTGTTTTTTTTTGTTTGCTGTCGAACTTGTGTCATGAGTACACTACATATTGGAATTCGATTTCTCTAAAAAAACATAAACCTGGTTTAGTGATCGGAGAAGGTTAGCGCCTGTTTGTATGTGTGTATGTGTATATTTCTCCCCTGTTTACAACTCTTGTATCTTATGTAGTATTTTTCTTCCTTTTTCAAGTGTTGGAATGGCCAAGACAAAAAGTGCGAGTAGAAACCAGAACCTTGATTATAATGATGCATCATTATCATCTAGTAAGAAGAGGATCATCAAGACTTGTATTGGTATCTGAAGGACTTTAAAGGAAAAAAGTTTAAAACTATAATTCCCAATTCCACTGGTAGGATCTGTTTTGGATCGACATGTGGTTACGTGATCTTGTTTAGTAGGGAAACCCACGACTTCAGGTTTGTGAATCTTATCACAAGGTATGAACTTCAATTTCATTCTGATTGCTCATTCTCAAAAAATTTGAAGCTATGCATACTTCTGATCATGAGTTGAATATTCAATTAACAAATACAAACACAAACTTACCTGATAATGTAGCGATTGGAGCAACAAATTGGCGAGAAGAAGGTAGAAAAGAAAATGCAGAGATAATGTAGTCGTGGATTGCAACACCAATTTGGCGAGAATAAGGCGGAAAAAAGTCGCATGGTTATGTTGATCGTCCAGTCGCTAGTTGCACGTTGCAGGAATAAGGTACTCTTCTGATTTACAAGTCACGGGTATTATGGTCCGATTAGGGATAAGGGTATTATGGTCCATTTAGACATTTTGTTAAATTAAAATTATTTTAAAATGTAATAAAAGATTATTAAATAGTAAAAATTATTTAAAATATAAATTTGGGCAAATATGATATTTTAAAATATTAAGAAAGACAAAAATGATATTTACAATTTAGGTCGGACAAATACGATATTTAGTCGTTTAGTAAGGGTATATACGAAATTCTCACTTTTGAAAATTATAGCAACTCAATTCATTCATTTATTAGATACAATATCCTTTATAGAATAAGATTTATTCAAGACAATCAATTAAACACACTTAGTACTAAACATTAATTTAAAAACAATAGATATACAATGAAGATCGGTATTGCATACCCATTTATCATCACATGCACTTTCTCAGAATGAGATATCCAAACCTTGAAACTTTTCCGTCGTAATGTCATCCAAAATCTGGCTCATTTCCTTTGTAAGATAATTGCTCCATCCTCCAACCTTTCCTTCCCTAAAGAAAGTGTTATTAGGGACACCCGTAATGAAATCCCCATTCTTATTAACTTCCTTTAAATTTTCAAAACTACATAGCGTCACGATCTCTTCCACCACACCTTTGGCCACTTCCTCCTCCGTGAAAGGGTAGCCCAAGAACTCTGCTAAACGCTTCACTTTACTTTGAGTATCTATTTTCGTGTCCTCGTATGTTAAAAATAGAACCTTTGTCGGCTCCTCAGAACTAGCCTTATAGTACTCTATCACATGATCCCAGTAAGGTCCATATGGCATAAAACCTTTAGCATACACATCAAGCATCTCACCGATGGTCATTGAGGTACGAGATTTATCTTTCAACTGGTTTGCAAAGTGAAACCAAGAGACCAAAACATCCTTAGGGTTCCTGCACATATAAACTATTCGACAGCTAGAATCAAGAATGGATTTAGGTAACGCGTTGTAATGTATATGGGTAGCCAAGAGACGTGGATTTGCAAGACCTTTAATAATGATTTCAGTCTCAAGGAAAGGCACACATTTGTGGGGGTTAGAGATGTTTAGAGGGTGATCTGATGGATTGATGTTTTTGTACTTTGTTCGGTTCACAATAGCATACACGAGGGCCTTAATCCATGTTGTACCACATTTTGGTTGTGTAATGACGTAGATATCAGATGAATGAGCTTGAAATATTTCTTGCACAGCCATCATTCTTTCAATTGAGAATGCATTGTCGGAGGTGTACCAAAATCCTTGATACATGAATACCTCTTGACCCATCCAGCCTTTTTCTTTTGGAAATTGGCTCAACTTCTCCTTGTAGCTATCCAAAAGGAGGGCGAGATTTGCTTTTTCGTGTTCATCATTTTCTGAACTAGATTCGGATACCAGTGACAGAGAAGAAACATCAGGGATTGACATTGGAAGGATTTTATACGTCGAGTGAAAGGAATTTTTAATCGGTAATATATATTAACACAAAGGGTGGGTTAAAATGAAATCTTATCGCTTAATACTACTATATATATAGAAAAAGAGTGTCGCTAAATTTTGAAGGAGGTGGTTTTTTATTTTCTCGAAAATATTGCACAAAACGTTGCACTCATTGTTATTAAGATCAATTTCGGCGAAAATTGTGTTTTAACTGTTTATCATATTATTATTTGAATTGTTCTAGAGTAAATTACATATTTAGAATTTAATCCTTGTCGTATACAAAAATTACAATTTCTGTCCAACATTTGTAGTTATCCTAATGTGGTCCTTATATTTCCTTTTAACAGAGAATTTGTTCTTGGATAAACAAAAGAGATAATGTCATAAAAAATCTTAGGTTTTGACGAAAATGTCTGGTTTACCATCCGGCAGATTTTTGGTTCGTTTATGTTGCAAACTTGCAATTTTTTGTCGGTTTTATCATTTTTTTTACCAACAATAGCAGCTTTCTAGGTTACTATGAAATATTATTTGCGAAAAAATCTTTAAGTTTACAAATATTTTGCAAAAAAACTCTTAAGATTATAAAGATATAAAATATAAATATATATTCAAAATTTGATAAAACTAAACAGTTTTTTTTAATTTTTTTTTTGTAAATTTAAATATCAAAAGTTTATATCAAACCAATATAAATTTTAGCATACTTATATTTTGAAACTAAAACCAAAACATATTTTTACTTTTAAGTATGGTAATTTTTTGTTGGTTCGATATACACTTTTGATATTTAAATTTTAAAAATTTATTTACTTTTATTATATTTTGAATATATTCCTTAATTAATACTTCAAGTTTTCTAAGCAAAAAAAAAACATATGTTAGCAAATAATTAATTACGCTACTTCATATGATAAAATAGTTACAGATATTAATAATATGACATTAACTATATTCAATTCATTTTTTAAAAGGAAAATAAAAATATTTTATATGTTTAAAAGGGTTGTATTTCAAAAATAATATGGTATATTATTATTTCTAAAACACAAACATTTTAACCATATAAAATAATTTCATTTTCCTTTAAAAAAATAATTATATGAAAATATTGCGACCGACTATTTTCACCTCCAAAAATGTTTTACGAGCCATGAATATCAACGAATCCAAAAAGCCACGTAAATCATAGATATGAATAAGATTGGATAAGTCTATATCATACCAACGACTTATCTTGAGACGAATTTAGGACGTCACTTCACACTCGATGAGCACATGCCTAATAACTTTTGTAGAGTTATTACAAACCGGCATAAGGAACAAGGAATGTCAATATTATAGCTGGACAAGTTTGTTTTGACTGGAAAACGGTCCAAGGCAGCTCTCTATCAAAATATATTAACCTTACTATGAATGATTTTATTCCATTCAATCTTTATAGGAAGCGATGTCACTCCGTGTTCATCAATACAGATTTGAGAATCCTTAACAACATATTCCACACCAATATTAAGATTTATAATCTCAAGGGGTTTTTTTACAAAATATTTATAAACTTAAGGGCTTTTTCGCAAATAATATTTATTGCTAACCTGAAAACCTGCTATTACATGTAAAAAGGGCAAAACCGACAAAAAAATGACAAGTTTGCATCATAAACGAACCAAAAATCTATCGGAGGGTAAAACCGACATTTTCAATCAAACTTAAGGCTTTTTATGGCATTATCCCTAATCAAAATTATGTAGACAAATGTTAAGTTTTTAATAATGACATTTTTACTCTTAGAAAACAATGCTACATATATTTTAGGGAAATGGACTTAATAAGTTAATTAACTTTTTGGTTTGCTCACATCTGGGTAACTATCTTTTTTTGTACACATTTAGGTAACGAACTTTTTGGAAGTGTTCACATATGACCATTATGATCGACTGTAGCAGGTTACATCTGGTCATAACCGGTTATAATGGTCATATGTGAAAACTTCAAAAAAGTTCGTTGCCTAGATGTGTACAAAAAAAAGATAGTTACCCAGATGCGAACAAACCGAAAAGGTAAGAGTAAATTTGTCACACCCCCAAACCAGAATGGCGGAAACATTCGGGGGCGGATGACTTCACGTAGTATCATAACAGTTGAATATTTGTAAAGAAAGTACACACAACCATCAAATATATAATTTAAAAGTTACATTGTTGCTTACAATACATGTCCCAAAAGAATTACAATATGATGATTCAATAAGTTTTAAGATTGACGTCTTAGCGTCTCTTCTCCAAAATCTGATGTTTTATCTGTATTACTGAATCCCCTGAGAATACAAACAGTTTTGAAAGAATATCAGCATAAAGCTGGTGAGTTCATAAGCATTTAGTTTTGGTGGAAAAATGTTCTTTGATTCTTTTGAAAAGCGTTCTTCAAGAAAATCCTATATTTTCTTATGAAAAGCGTGTTTGAAAACCCATTCCTTCCATGACTTCCAGATTCATACAAGATATGTACAATCCAAGGTGTCGTGGAATGAATATGAATATCCGTTGGTTACACGTTAAACAATCTGTTTTTGAATAGCCGGGTTATCCCGGGAAAATCCTATATTTTCCCTAAAAGCTGATGGTTGGTTATCTGTTCTAAACTGAGGTGTACAAGTATCTACCATACTTATATCGATAAAAGCAGTTTTCTTTTAAAACCCTGGTTACACCCAGTGAGGTAAATTAGCCTTATTACATAAATAAAACTAATAAAAACATGGTGAACTGAATCCTGAAGGTATTATTAATACTCCCTAGTAATCAATTGATTATTACTCTGAGGTTAGTTCATTCGATCCATTATTATGTAAGTAAATCGCTGTTATCTACATTGCGAGTTTTATAACCATGCATTAACTTGATATGGCGCGTATCGGGGCTAGTATCCTTTATGACTTTGTCACCCGTAGACCTGCCGGTCCCACTGTAGCTAGCAGCGAGGTGCGGGATAGTCAGTCCCGTATAGATCTATACACAACAGTCACGCTCTCCCTACAAGAGATTCTGGTCATATGTGCTAGCCCTACACTCTGTTTCGGTGGTGAGTGTTACCAAGGACGTGTCTCCAACTTAGACTAACAAATTTACAAGTAATAATGCTGAAAACCCTTTTTGTAATTAACATGAATCCTTTTATAAAATGATATCTTTTACTTCATGATTCATAAGTTCATTGTCTTAGTTTTGAGAACCGTTTTTGCGAGTTGATTTCTTAAACCATTTGGTAAAACTGTTTTCCATGTTAAAAGTATATTGAAAATATAATTATCTTAAACAAAATAATATACTTTGAGCCCAAGATTACTTGTGCTTTTGCTTGTATCCCCCCCCCCCCTGAAAACATGAAAAACTCGGAAAAACGTAGGGGTATGAACTCAGTGGTTGAAGAGGCGGGTTGAAGAAGATAAGGCAATAATCGAGCAGAACTTCGACAGGAGGAAGCGGATTTCTCAGGATTCTCGGGAATCTCGGGAGCGTAAAACTTCCTTCGGGACATGGATATGAAAACCGGGACTTCGGGATATTTCTTGCACGCAAAACGAGGTAAAAACGCAAGAGAATGAGAGAAAATGAGCAAAGAAACCCGAAACTCTCGCATCCCTTTTATAGGCTCTGGAACCCTCGCGTACGCGGGGCGTACCAGCGAGTTTACGCGGCGCGTTCGCATGCGTCATGGCTTACCGCATCCTCGGACGAAGCATTGGATGGGACCCGGAGCGACGTGGACGAACCGAGGCCTAGCACCCGAGTACGCTGGGCGTACGAGGGTACGCTGGGCATAAATCGTCTTGGTTTGTGTTCCTCAAACTTGTAAAATCCGTAACTTTCGCATACGAGCTCCGTTTTTGACGTTCTTTTTCATTTAGACTCCGTCGGCTAGTTTTGACTTTATTTTTAATTATTTATTTTTAACAGGCCGGGACAGGAAAAGTCCGTTAAAAATCCATAACTTCTTCATCCGACGTCCTTTTTCGTCTGTCTTTTCACCGTTGTACTACTATTGTCGGGATCTTCGATTCTCGTTTAGGTTGCGTCGGCTAAAAGTCGCTCGATCTTTTTTCGAGTTTTTAGCTGTCGACCGCTGTTCCGAAACTTAGAAAAATCATAACTTCCTCATACGAAGTCAGATTTGGGCGTTCTTTTTATGTACGCTTATGGTTTAGTGATATCTACTACTTTCGTTTAGATACCTAAGGCTAAAAAGTATTTTATTGAAGTTTCACTTTTTACGCTTAACAGTGTTTTACCGGTTTTGACGCGGATCTTTGATTGGTCATAACTTCTTCGTTATGACTCGGATTTGAGTGTTCTTTATATTTTTGGAAACCTTGACACGATATCTAACACTTTATGCATCCCAATTTAGATTTTAGAACACTTCATTTTTGACGCAAACTTCTATTGATTCCAAAAATAGATTATAATACTTGACTTTAGGTCATTATATTGACTTTAAATATCGGGTTGTCACATCATCCCCCCGTTAGAGGGAATTTCGTCCCGAAATTAATTCTAAGATAGGCATTTATGGACTAGGGAAGAGATGCGGGTGTTTTTTGTTTCATATGATCTTTGCGCTTCCAAGTGTATTCAGGTCCTCGCTTGGCATTCCAGCGGACCTTCACAATGGGTATGCGACTTTGTTTTGTTCTTTTAATTTTCTTATCCATGATTTCTACTGGCTCTTCTACGAAGTGGAGACTCTCGTTGATTTCAATTTCATCCAGAGGGATGACGAGGGTCTCATCGGACAAGCACTTCTTTAAGTTTGACACATGAAAGGTAGGGTGTACGTTATTGAGCTCCTGTGGTAATTGAGTTTGTATGCTACCGGGCCAATCCTGAAAGGATCTCGAATGGTCCGATATACCTTGGATTTAGTTTCCCACGTTTTCCAAAACGTATTAATCCCTTCCAGGGTGAGACCTTCAACAGTACTCGGTC